ACTAACCCTTCATCAGCATTTTGATAAGACGGCATTACTCTGTGCAATTAATGGTACTTTTCGTGGCACATTGGAAGAGCGAGTCACAGCTCCATGGATGAAATAAAATAAAGTGTAAGAAGGGTCATTGATTTTTGACGTTAATGGCAAATAGAAGTGATTGTATCTCAGTTCTTGGGTATTCTATCACCCGGTACTACCTGTATCTGTCACGTTGCGTCTTTTCATTAACTGGTGGCTATGTCTCCACCACAGACATCCACATTAAGAAGTCCTTTCACGCATGTTACTTGATATGCAATCTCTTCAGATAGACATTTTGGAGAAGGACAATGATTGTTCTGTGTACTATGCAAACTACAAGCAGAGGAGTAATATTTTGAGTCCGTTTATCATCTCGGTTGGCACTCAAGGTGAAGGACAAAGGACAATCAAGCCAAATGAGCAAGATGGCCTCTTTTTATTTAAAGGAAACCTACGGATCCTGCGCAAGACTCGGGTCACATGAGGCAGGAATGCCACCAAGTGACCGGTTTCCTGCGTAACCGATCATTTATCCTGTGTAGGCAGGGAATATGTATATAGTCAAATCTTTATTGAATGGATATAAAATGTAAATGACTTTAATTCCTTCAGAATTAGAGGGGTTTTTGAGGGCAACAACGTTGAAGTGTTATCTCCATGGGGTGGGAAATATAATGTAGAAGAGTATGTGATGTGCCACTGGAGGGTAGGATTAAATGTCCCCTTCACTGCCACAGAGGGACGGTCCTTAGCTACGCCCAAACACCATTTCAGTTATAGAAGTGTCTTAAGACTTCAGTTCTGCTCGAGACTACCAGATCAGCACTGCGGCATCTCAAATTATAATACATATATTACAGAACATACAAGCTGTTTTGGGGTGTCTTCTTTGATACCCTTGTTACAGCCTTTTAAGCCCACTCGAGGTTCAGACCGTCTTGGGGTGGACTGTGTGAGCAAACAGAGAACGGATGGATCTGTAGACAATGCCAATGCTCACACTTGCTTGCAGTTCCATAGGTTACAGCCAGTCCCTCTGGGTGCGAGCGCGCACCTGCTCATATTGCTCTTACTATGATTTTTTCTTGCTCCCCCCCCCCCTTCCCGCATGTTTCCACCCTTTGAGTTGACAATGCTGCCCCCACCCCATGGCCTTCCTTCGTGCATGAGATGTCTGCAGTCCCTTCCTAACCACACTCTCAGAGCGGGCACATGACGCCCTCCAAAAACACAGCCGTGTCCTAAAAACGTTCTTTTGTAAAACCGTCAACAGCACAAACCTTTTTTTTTTTATATATTGTTGTTTGTAGTTTTTGTATTAAAAGAAACCTTAAAAAAAAAGGGGGAGAAATGGGCGATCTCTGTCCATATGTCTGTGTGTTTGCCTAGCGCCGCAGTTTTCAGATAACTTAATTGTGTGTTTATGAGGATATGGATCCATTCCATCTAGCTCTGATGTAAAATAAATTCAACTAAATTCAAAGAGAATAAAATATAGAAATGAATAAACTGCCCGGACTCTCCAAGCGATTCTCATTGTCTATGTGTCTTTATTTCAATCATTTATTCTTTGTTTATGGTCTTTGCTAGAACTGAAGGTCCTAGTGCATGGGAAGGTCCTGGGGTCCCCTGCCTGTCTGAGTACAATAGTGGGGCGCAGGGCAGTAAGAGACCCCTATCCTCCAGCACCCTGTTGTGCGGTAGTTTTAATGGCTGGAGAAGCCTGGGTATGACATCATACAGCTCTTGAGAGGGAGCAAGGGAAGCTATGTAGAGTTCTCCTACTTGGCACCAGAGTTCGATGGGGTCTTGTGGTTCAAAAGGTGGGATAGTTCCTTTATTATGTACAGAGGTCCGAAAAGCAAACCATTCCAAACCTCAGACTGCTCCTTAATTAGTACAGAGCTCACCAAACCTTAAAGACCATTCCTTAATTAGTATAAAGCTCCCCAAATCTCACAGACTATCCATTATTAAGTACAGAGCTCCCAAACCTCACAGGTTCCTTCCTAATGGATATATAACTCCCCAAATCTCACAAACCATTCCTTAATGAGCACAGAACTCCCCAAACCTTACAGGCATCTTCTTAGTAGGCACAGAGCTCCCCATACAACTCATTTCAGTCACTATACCATGGGGCAGGTATATTTTATTCATATTATTTAACAAATTAAAGGATTTATTTTTCCCTGCCCCACCCAAAAAAAAAAAAAAAGTACAATATCCTGAGCTGGAGACCGACACAAAATGACTAAATAAAATTGTTTACTAGGAGTACTTCAGGTGTGTCAGGAAAGGGTTAATAAGGCAACAAAATGTCTGATATCTGTTCAGATTAAAACTCCTCATTTCTCCGGGAAGTACCCCTAAGTGCAATATAATGACTCTCTAATCCTTCATAATTAGCAGAGTATAAACGAGTTTTGTTTAATTACGTGTAATTCATGTATAACTAAAAGGCTTGGTATTTGTCCTTCCTCCTGTCTGGGCCGCACTGTCCAATTACATCCTTGCGATTTAGTTCAAATGAACTACTATCAAGTGTAATTAGCGTTTACTTAGAGAGGTAATTACACGTTCTCCGCTCGACCACAGAGCGGTCATTATCGCGCACGTCATACATGAGAGTTTCTGTTTTCTATACATTTTTTTTTCACCTTTGTCAATTTGTTTGCTAAACATTTGAAGACCCGGCAATTCTTATCGACCCGCCACACTAACTTGTGTGCAAGCAGTCTACTCTGATGAAAACGAGTAAGCATGTCTGGGGAATACAGCGAAATGACCGCCCTGCTGTATTTATACAGTGTCCAGCTCTAAAGCTCTTTACAGTGGCTCACATACCATTTACTACTTGGGTTTTCAACCTCGAAACAATGAATGGATGATCAGACCCTCTTAAAAGTGCTCATAATGGGCACATTAACCCACTGAATTATCACACTGTCAAAGAATGACATGGCACTTATAGATATAAACAATCTGAGAAGCATTTAAACTAGGAAAGAGGCATCTGTTCTATGAAATAAGGGGCTTCAGCTTAGCACCCATACAGTGGCTCTGCCACCCCTAAAGTAGTACTATATCAATAGAACGTAGAAAAGGACATGGAAATGTTTAAAGAGATAAACAGTGTTGTATTGGTTACACAAACACAGGAATCTATGTAGAATTGGAGTGCAAGCTTTCAAGACTACCTCTTGAGGGTTTGCATGCCCAAGTAAGGGGCCCAAGTAATGGTCTGAAGAGTTTGTAGTCTAATATCTACTGCATGGTCAACGACCACCTTTGTATTACTTGTTCTTAAAGCGAGATTTAGAAAAAGATTTATTACAAAAGGTGTGGCAAAAATCAGAGTCTTACAATCATCTACATTTTGTAAAATAAACTGGAATAGATCCAAATTAGGTTTTCCAAAAACTGATTGAAATTAATCTGAATTTTGCTTAATTCAGGTCATTCAGGCTAAAAGCTCAAGAATTGTTCACAAGTCAAAAAAGTTTCCACCTCCATCAGGACTGAGTGACGCAGTAACCTGAAAGATTGCCGTACGCTCTCAATGAATCTCAATAGCTACAGATATATCATTACTGGTTCCTGGGCATTGGGAATCCTGAACAGCTACGTTAGAAAGCTAGATTGTATGGAAATGTTCACATCGCTATATCTCCTTTTATTAGAGATTAATTCTATTTGTATTCACATTGCGCCATTTATCGAAAAATGGGAACGCTACTGTGAAAAGCTGAATCGTGGATGGACATTTGGGAATAATAAACCATTATACACAGACGTGTCAATCAGAACAAACAAGACTTTAAAAGGAACCCCTCCCTCCCTTCCACTGTAAGTACTCAAACCATCTCCTCTCAGCTACCAGGAGAGACAAACCTCAGGTTAGTAGCCTCCATTAGCTACGCCCTGTATACTCATTTAGGATGTAGTGAAGGAAGAGCAGACTCCAGAAGAACCCAAATAAGTTTAACAGTTCTAAATACAGTTTGAATACTTTAATTGGAGGGCACCAGTGTACTCCAAGTATTATAACCTCTACAGTGATCTGCAGTGGTTATGGTGCACGGTGTGTTCCTGAAAGTAGATGTCCAGAGAGAACCCCAGATTCATTCCACTCTGGTAAATGTTATACAAGTAATGCCAAAACTGGTTCACGTAGATCTCTGGCTATTCCCCTGGGCCCCTCTCCCATTATAAATCTGTAGTAGAGGTGAGCTCAGAGCACATATCAACATGGCGGAGCAGCGTGGATCCCACCAGCCATGTGCATAGCTCACCGAACATGCAGGTTCTAGATTGTGTCAGGTTCATATAAACATGGAGGTACAGCAGTCTCACTTAATATAAGGAGATATAATTATGGGTTAGAAATGTCTTAACACTAGCAGTATGAATTGTTTGGAATTAAAAGCTGACCTGGAAACACAGACTCCCATTTTGGCCCCCCAAAAACATCCTGACTATGCAGTTTGTTGAATAAACAGTTATTGCTCGCAAATCGCTTTATTCACGGAACTGAACATTGTCAGCCATTTTAATACGCAGGTCAAAAGCTGGTCTGCAGAACGGATTCTTTCTTGTTCTGATTCGCTGGCAAATCATTGTGACATTATTTAGTAGATACGCCCCTCGGCTGTCAATTATAGGAACTGGATGCTGTTGCTGACAATTCTCCAAAGATCTCCGGCTCCATTGAATTCCCAAATGGAGGATTTCGGCTTAAATGTAGTTTTCTATTCACGGTTCAATGAGGGTTGGTCACTAAGCTGTGAGCTGAAAGCCACCTTGAGGTAGGTGACTTCTACGAGATATCGAGAGGCAGGCTATTGTCAGGGTATTTATATCGGCAGACATTTTGTGCTGTGATAGAAATTAAAAGTGTATATTCTGAGTCACTCTGAACAGACCAGACTCCATTTTGTTATTTTCAAGCTAACAAAAAGATACAAGATTTCTATCTGTAACACTAACCATTTTCCCAGAGCTAAGGAATGCATAGCATAGTATAAACAAGTGATAAGCAGAAAGGGGATTGGACAGACTGTCTAATGCTAATGGAATAGATTAATTCTAAACCCAGACAATTGTGACAGAGAAGATTAAATAATAAAATTTAACTGTCTATACATATAAGGTCCCATTGTAAGTTACGGGTCAAAACTCAGATTGCCAGACACAGTCTGGACAAAACTTAAAGAACCCTTTGATCTGTGAAGGATACGTAAGTTATGGCCACTATCTAGATAGGCCAAAATGACGTCAAAATAGCCACCAAGAAAAGTTAACTCTTTCCTGGATAGGTATGTTTAGTGGGACAAGACTGCCCTCTATAGACCAAATACCTAATTTGCGATCTGGAAGATAACCACACCTCTAGTACTTCTATTGGGTTATCAACTGATGACATACAGAGAGTCTGGCCCTTTAAAAGTTAAGACAAAGGGAAGACAAGGGATGCAGAATAGGCAAAGGAGAAAGAAAAAGAGGAGAGAGGAATTGGAAGTTTGGGGATTCCAATCTCGGACAACATCTGAGACTAACACTCTACTCCTAAAACTCTAACACTTAGAATTTACTGACTTTCTAACCAACACCTCCATGCAGAGAGACATCCAAATAAGTTCCTGAGACTACCAATCGGATGAAATATCTACTCAACTGGTAATTATACTGGTTTCATTTAATTAAATTAAATTAATTAAAATGTATTAATAGCATTATATATGACTGGATAAAGCACGGTCAGATTTCCATATTAAGAAATCTTAGTTAACTAAGAATATATAGTTATAAACATTCCATTCTGCAGGTGGAATTAAGAATAATTATATATTGATGTGATATTATCACGTGTTAGCATACCGTTGTTTTTATCCAGGTGTATTGATTTGCTCGAATATAGATAGATATCTTTTAGACAAATTCTGCTTATATAATATGGTAGATTCTCTTATTGGATGGTTCCAGGAAATGACCAATGAACTGGTTTAAATGTTATTTTATTTAAAATTACATAAGAATAGATCTTAATTACCTAGGAGATCTAGCCAGCATTGAAAGGGTTATTCTAACTGTCTGCTAAACTTTACGACCTTACGCTGCACTCTGAGGAATTCTGTTCTCTGTGTGAAAAGTTTCACTTTAAGTCTGTGTTAAGGATACCTCATAAATCGTCAAAAGTCTTGACAGATAATGCTATGGCTATGTGGATAGCCATTCCTTTGTATTGCATATCATTTTATACTGGATATTCATTGATTATTGTCACGCATGTTACATATTATTATTATTATTATTAATTAATTTGTCATTATAAATAAAAATCTATTTTTATACATTGTGATATTATTATATGAAATACATTCCACTTAACACGATAAACGTTATTTGGGATCTGAGAATTGAATTAGTGGGCAATTCTCAACTGTTTACTATTATTATCCCATAAATATCCCCACACTATGCAGAACAGACGGTAAGACACGGGGCTATTCAGTAAACCAAGAACCAAGGAGAATTGACAATGGACTGGAAAATTTTAGGGCAAAATAGTAAATTTGGTTAAAATGCCCCTGTGCATGGTTCTAGTTTGGCTAATTTGTTTAATTCCCTACTTAAGGCTTCTCAAATCACGGCTTGATAAATAGTGGGGGTGCTTGCACGTCGGGTTAATTGGGTAAATTCATTGGACCTGTTCAGGCAGCTACACATATTAATAGTCCTTGATCCTCCCCCATGGCTCTCAGGCTCCCTCATTAGCCATGTCCTTTGTACTTTTTAATTAAGGTCATTTGAGGCAGAACATCACTTAAAGATAGAGGACTTTCCTTTCATGGAGACAGACTCAGCGAGAAGAATGAATACAGAGTATCTGCTGCGATTGTCTGATATCATGCGCGGCTTCCAGATACCTCTCGAGAAATTATTCTCTGAGCACACACGGATCCAGAGACCTCATCTGTAATAATAAGCTAAACGTGTTTCAAACATGAATATATTGTAAAGTAACTAGAATTCACATCTTTGTTCTCCAAAACAGTGAGTTGCGATGAGCTGGCAATAGAAAACAAGGTAAAGAAAATTACATTTCTGGATGCTCTATCCCATAAGCAAGCACCTTCCATAATTGTAAACAAAAAAAAAATAAAAAATAAACACAAAAAATGTATATATATATATATATATCGTAATCTTTAAGTGTAGAGAACAACACACTAAATAATCCCAAACTGTAACATTGTTTACAGACTTTAGGAGATTGTGTCATAACAGACAGTGTGTTACAGAGTGGTCATACAGGTCAAAATTAAAAAACACACTACCAAAGTGTCTTGATTCATCAAAACAGTCTTGTCTGGTGGTCTCTAAAGCAGAAAAATACAGCAATTTCATCTACTAAATTAAACTCCTAAAAGCACTTACAGGGATGTCAACACAGGGCACGCAAGAATTCAGAAAATAGGGATAAAAATGCTTTTTTCACAGTCCATACATCCCATGCTAAGCTTCCCCACTTGACGACTCAAGATGGCGCTGAAGATGGAGCAGGTGTACACATGGGCAGTCGATCCCCATCAGAAACTGCATCAGTCACTTGACAGATCCTACAGAGCCTCCTAGACACTATGGCTAACAGACTACAGAAACTGTGTCAGAAATCCAGAAAGACCTTCAAGAACCAATCTCCAGGACATCACATATGGAGCGTAAGATGAAGGAATTAACTTCCGCACACAATGACCTTGTTGATTGTGTAGAATAAATGCAACACCTTCTACAGCATTATGAAACTAAAATTATGGACTTAGAAGATTGGTCCTGTTGGCATAACATAAGAATACAGGGATTCCCCAAGGACGTGCCAACTCTTATCTGACAGGCCATCGCACCAGATGTTCCCACTGACATGCTGCTTAATGATTGGGCACATAGAGTGGCCAGGCCGAAGCACCTACCTCCAACGACCAATAGAGATACTCTAGCAAGAGTATTTTCATATAAAAGAAACTATCCTCCACTTACATAGTAACCGAAAAAAACTTCCCTGACAAATACAAAGATATTCAACTCTACACTGACCAATCTGCAGAGACCTTGAGGAGAAGACGATCGTTCAAGGAAATTACGTAAGAACTCTGCGAACGGCAAGTGCCCTACAGCTGGGGCCTCCAGTCAAACTACCGATATCCAAAGGAGGCCGAATGGTACTGGTGATGACTGTGGAGGAGGAACTTGCGTTGCTATAGCGCTGGGGCTACTAGCCAGAACCCCCTGCGAAGAGCCCACGGAGAAACCAGCTCCTCCACCCTGAGTAGAACGATCGACTCTAAAATGACTTCCTAACCTGATAAATGTATTGCTACCTACATGTTTACAGCTTGGGCACCTAATACGGTCTCACAATACAGACTGTGGCGATCTCATTTTCTCTTATTTTACCTAATGTTAGGCCATTTTATTTGAATTTTACATTAAGGAACTTAGCGAGTCACACTGTACTAACTTCTAAAGAAAGTCTTGTATGAATTTTGCATTTGATACATAGTCTACATTACAGTCCACCGTGAGGGACTTCACGCTTCCTAGGCCCTCCTAGCTCGCATTACACCTAGCAAAGAGTAGGTCCCTCTTACCAAGCACCTGGAGTTTTTGCATTTGAGGTGATACTCAACAACGTTAATCCGATGCCATTTCTTGAAGAAATCACAGACCCTTAATTTAAGTATTTGTTTCCCAGAAAAGAAGTAAATTATTTTTTATTTTAAAAGCCTTTTCTTTACTACAGCCCTAGTCTTTGGGTATTTAAACAGCATTACGCAAGATTGGTGCTGACGGTGATACTTGTTTTGTTTCACCTACGTATCAGCTCTCACCAACATATTATGCTATATATTGATGATAATCCCGGTTTCCAAATCACTTTCGAGGGTTCGAGAGTAGAATGTTCCAAAGACACTGCGTTAAAAGATACCATTTATAGATATCCATACGCAGTACTGACTATCAGCACCACACGTGTTCAGAAACTGATCGAGCAAATGCACCTGCTGAATTATAAATAAAGGGATTTAATATCTTAGGATATAACTTAAGGGTCATAATTGCATACTGCCTCTGGCTCTCCACACATGCAATGTAACTGTTACGGTATAACCCAGTGTAGTGAGGGTTAATACCAATTAAGGGATTCACCTTTACAAGGGAACAGCAGCTCACGAACACTCGAACCCACCGAACGGGAACCATACGAAATCCTTCTCTCCTGGAACAGGCAAAAGAATACTCCACAGTAGCAATCCCCTCCAGTCACGAGAAAAGGCTCCATATTGAGGGTAAGGTAAAAACAGGATTCTGATTTATTGAGGGCTACCTGCCCAGTATTTATGCAGGTCTCCCACTTGGTGGACACTCCCCTAGGGGACCAGTTGGGAGACTGTGACAAGGGACAGACACGTATCAATGACAGACATACAAGGGGTAAAACATTCTCAGGATACAATGCGTTCCTGCCTCTCTGTCCTGGGGATAATTGGGAAGTAATTCAATAATTATCTCCCAGGACAGAGGCAAATCGCCATTACCTATGAGGTGACAACAGGAGAGGGAAATGCAATAAAATACACAAAACATATACATGTAACACATCCCCAGATAGCTTAGGTCTGGGCCCACATTATTACTGAATGGCGCTCAGACCACACACATACAGTTCAATTGCCATGAAGCCAAAGTCTTTTATTACACGAATAGGCTCCACGGCATAGCTATCTGGGTACAGCATTCACTAAATACAAAGTCCCGATTGCTCCGGCGTTCGGCAATACGACCGGAGCTAGAAGCAGGGAAGGTTGGCGGCTCAGCGGTGTTCGCGAGTAAAAGTGTCCGCTTTCAGTTCACTGAGGCTGGGCTGAACACCGCTGGCTGTCCAGGAGCTGTAGAATGCCGCCACCGTGCGGCCGCCATATGTAACCGCGACCACCCGGTAACAGTCAATTAAGCTGCAGTTAACCGCAGCTACTGGGTGGTCAATTGATGGCACACGCTAGCTACGGGGAGGTCAATTGGCGGTACACGCCAGCTACACGGTGGTCGCGCCTTCGTGCGTCTATTGGGGAAATAACAAGGGAACACACAGGGACTGTACGGGCAAGGAAATCGGACAAACAGACAAACTGAGGGAGAATAAACACAATCCACAGACAGACGGTTCTGTCACAGTAACTACTTTGTTTTTGGGCCTGCTTTCGGTTTATATTCTATCTGGTTTGT